CACACACACACACACACACACACACACACACACAAAATGAAGAAAACAGAAACGGATCATGAACGGTGAAGGGGGGAGGCGAAGCATCTCTTCAATGGGGCACTAAGGGTATCCAACATAAAGCTCTCCATCATACAGTGTGGAACCTGGACTGTCTTAGGATTATGATCGCATAGATCCATGATATATGTGTAGAGATATAGATCAGCGGATTGGCATGGGGAACGATGACAACACGTTTCAATGAAGAAGACTTCGGTCTTTGAGCTGCTATGAAAAGTCTTCCAAATGCTCCTATTCCAATGCTTCTGTTTAGGCAAAGAATTCAAAGAGGAAGTAAAATGAAAGTTTACACAAAATTATTGATCGGGAAGCCTAAGAATATTCAAAACAGTCAAGGATGTAAATTCATATCTTTAATCCCGCAAATTTTCATTTTAAACAAGTCCTAGCAAAATCAGTGAAATTCGAAGCTGCTGTGTGGGCATGCTTGCCGAAAAGAAATATAAGCTCTTGGTACTATTGACGGGACCAGTGTTCCCCACCCACAATGACCAACAAGAAACCTCAGTGGCCAACTTTCCGTCAAGTCGTATGAACCCACCAAGGGCGGTCAAATCGGCTCGGATTTTGAGCCGTTCGTTCGAAAAAAAAACAACATTCGGACTTAAAAGAGAAGTAATTATTTCAAAGAGCATAGAGCCAATTCAGCAGTCCTTTCTAAAAACGTAGTAGCCTCGAAACCGAGGCTGAAAGATAAACAACTAACATGCGCAAATGAACATGAATTATAATTTATTTATTTGCATCAATTGTACGCCAGGAACAGGCCGAACGTTTTAGTCAACAAAAAAAACAACTACATTTACTTACTGTTCTTTTTATATACTTGCAACTTGACATACTTTGATAATTTTGTAATAGCAATCGTAAAAATTAAACTTTTAAACACAATTTACCCTTGTACTCAGAGGTGATTTGAGTAAGGATCTGCAGACAGGCAGCCAAGGAAGCAGTCACCAGCTCAAAGTCAAAGAGCCGAGTTACCACAGCATCGTAATCGATTTGGGAGTTGGTGGAGACGACCGAGATAGCGGCAATACCACCACTGCCGTTGACCGAGAGAGTATTACTTCGAGCCCCGTCTGTGGAATTCTGTTAGGGCAGGAAAATAGCACCGTCTCACATTATCATTCGATGGTGAATATGCAGGTTTGCTAGTCTAGGGGGGGGGGGTGCTACAGTAAAGATCAGTAAGCGCTAAACTACGCAAACAAATATTGACCTTGATAAATCGACCGACAGATAGCCTTCTTGCCTTGGTCTGCAATACAAACAAAAAATCAATACTCCCGTTGATTCATCTTAGGCAAATGCACAGTGGTCACGATGCTCTAATAAACTCCCTGTGAATGTAAGCTTGTGACACAAAAGAGGGTCACCCTTGGTTAAGGAAACAGAGAAGATAATAAGGTGATGAGTTTGTAGACACGCAAACTTATTGATTCGTTATTTTAGTTACTAGCACCATTAAGTAAAACTCGTTTAAATTTCACACAAAGAGACAAGCAAAGAGAGAAGATGAATGGATATATACCAGATAATGCATATTTAAAGCCCTCTTAGTAGACTGGTCAAAAATGAAATCACATATAGGAAGACTTCCCTTCAAATAAGTTTCAAATTTTAAGGAAAAGATGACAAACATTCCAAACCTCTAAGTAAGTCCGAACAATGACAGCTCATAAAGAGCAGATAAAAATGGAATATGAATTAACAGAGCTATAAGTACAAATCGTGTTGGAAGTAGACTCGCAACCTTGCTGAACTAAAACGAAACGCACAGTATGAGATCATTGTGGTCATTGGCTAGAGCACACCAACTAGCGATTACACTTGGTGGAGGTGTGCAGATAAGAGGCAAAATGAACACCCCATTTCACCATTTGCAATTTTAATTATTTTTAGTCCTTATTTTTGTCTTACGCATGGATTATTGCCTGTAAGACCCTTCTTCACAGTCGCTTGTTTATAATGATGCGCCATGCCACGTTAAACGCAAAGGGACATATACAGGTTGTGAATTGAAACAGCACTTCGAGCTAATCTACCGTACAGCCGAGTCAAAGATGCTAATGTGAGTTTGGCAAGCACAAATAGTGTTAAAGGCCAGTGCTTACACTTCCCCTCTCAATGGGGGGGGGGGAAGTATTGTCTACTATTTGCGCTGCTAAGACGACATATAAGGCGAGAATTTCTCATTGAAAGGGTGAAAATTGCAGATTTTCTACCCGCATCATAACAAAGTAAACCCACTAGGTCAAAATGTAACTAGCTTTAATGTGAAGAAGATTGTCAAGAGGATTTCGTAAAAACACAGTAAGTAGGCGAAGTGGACAAGCGTATTAGTTAAGCTCGCTAATTAATGAATTTACAAGAGGGCTCCATGAGATGCATGTGGGAAACCATTTCTTTCATGAAGTCTTCGGAGACATTGATTTCTGTATATTGCTGAGAAAACCTACATAACCTGTCAAGCGAATCCAGCAAAATTGGTTAACATGCATCAACTAAAGGTGAGCGAAAAGACTTTTTCAATCACAGTGGAATTAGATTACTTTTCTACACACTAATAAATCCCAAAGCCCATTGAAGGATGAAGAACTCGCTATCTATCATTCCTCAGAACCAACAAGTGCGCCAATCACCGGCAGACATCGGTTTTGTAATCCCTGATGTAAGTGGTCTTTGCGAGTGCTAAATAAACTCCAAGTAGAGAACTATGGTAACCATGCTGAGGCTAATGATGACTGTTTAAGATGATAAATTGACAAATCAAGGCTAAGTAAGAGTAATTACAATCACGTGCAAATAAGTGACAACGCAATTAATGCTCAAAATAAAAAATTAATAACGTAATGAGAGAGAATAGGTTGGATGAAAAAAAAGCTTACCTCATTGTCGATCGCTCTATTTTGGCTAGAATAACCATCAGGTAAGAGGGTTTGATCGTTCTGTTCAAAAGGAGAGTCCAGGGTTCCTAAGGTGGTCTCATCAAACACTTCATCAGCCCCTCCTAGAGAGAATTTTCGCGTCTTCTCTTCCCAACCCCCACGGCTAGTATCGCGAGGTCGATTCAATGTGGATGCTTTTCGAGTCAAATGAGAGGACAGATCGGCGGCAATTTCATTTTGCTCATCTTGGTTAGTAGAGAAGATATCCTCGATTATGTTTTGCACCGTAGAGATCAGTTTGTCATTGAATTCTAAATAGAGGCAAAAAAAGACGAAAGGCAATCTGTGAAAACATTACTTCGATCGAATGTAAAAGATCTTTTATAGTGAAGTTTTGAGGAAAAAACAAGAAAATAAGGTTAGAACGTAATAGTTGGAATCATAGATTTATTAAAATTGAAGCGCTTGAGAAATGAGTTCAAACAAAGTAACTTTGACCTAGATAGGTAAAATTTGCTTAATGTCATTTTTCTTCTGAGGGTAATTTCATGAGCAACAAAACAGCATTTTAGTAGAGAAGCTCCTAGCTTCTGAATGTATGTCATGGAACACCAATAAGACAACCTTACAAATCTCAGAGTAAAAGGAACAAGTCACAAATCGCAGAAATCAGCTTTCGTGGATAGAAAAGATCGCCATCTTTTGGCTTTTCGTACCCCGTTCTAAGTGCAAACAGGCACGTGGTGTTGCCTTAACAGGCGGCAAGAGAAGTCTGATTTGAGATTAGACACTGGTAGTGAAATACACCTCGTTGTGCCAAAGGTCGAGATGTGAAGCTGGTTACTTCTAATAAGAGCACCCAACACCACAACCCAAATTAAGGGTTGGAAAAACACTGGCAATAAAATAGATTTTATTTATGCACTTGAATACCGACAGGTGGCAGAGTTAAAGATTATGAACGGAAGTCGGGGTTCTTGAGCACTGGTTGCCCTATAGTTGTTCTCTCATGCTTGTACACGATAGCTAAGACTTCTCGCTGCAAAACGACTGACTAAACAAATACCCTATGAGCACCCATAAACCCGAAATGTAAATAACCATGATACTTTCTCTTAATAGGAAAGACGACTTTACTTAAGTCAAGTTACTTCCTACCTCTGGCCTGGACTAGTGGATTGAGCCAAGACAGTGAACCAGTGATAATGGGGCCACACCTAACTAAGACATGGCAGATGCGTCATATACACCCGAGGTAACGATTTATAGTTGGTACATACAAATTAATCAATCATACGCATTTCCTCATATAAAAATTGAGAACTCCTATGAGAAGCATGCGATAGCATTCGCGATCTTTGTATGGTATTTCAATGGTACATTAATATTTTACGATAGATTCTATTCATAACAAACTTTGTTAAATATTTTGCAGTGATAAAAAAGATCAACTTGATGCTTACTCTGATGTTTGTTCTGTATAATATCCCTGAAGAGTAGGAGGTAGCAAAGGCGAAAACAGCAACTGAAAGAACGATAGGGATAGCCGATTCCCCTTTGACGACGCTACACATACACACGCATACACACAAGAAAAGAAAAGAGTTTTATTGAAAGAGATAAATCCAAATATTTACGAATCGCAATAGCCTCGGTAGGTGAGTGAGAGAGAGGTGACGGCAATAGAAAACACGCAAAAATCACACCATGGCACCCACATGAAGTAGTATTTCGGTTACAGAACAAACGCATATACACGGTCACTTACACGCCAGTAGAGGGCTGCTAAGGCGTCAAACCACTTATTAAGACGCTCCTGTAGAAAGACTGTCGCCTGGAAGAGAAGAAAGAAAGTACAGACGTAGTTAATCCCTCCCCCTCCCCGCACCCCCCCCCCCCCCCCCCCCCCCCCCCCCCAACTTTAACTGACTTTTCATTGTCAGCAAAATGACCTTCCCTTGTACGCTTATCTGGCTTAGTTGATAAGACAATTAGGAGCATATGGGTATTCCCCTTGTTGATTATTGGCTCAATCACAACTAGCCGCCTACTTCCAATCACCCACTAGACAACTTTGCTGCTATTACTACTTCGTATTTTAAAACTCCTTTGGTCTGTGTAAGACACTGTGCTAATTCGTGTTATATTTTCGATTTTTAAGATATACCTGTCTTTGCTTACTTATTGATTATTAATTCACCTCTTGTTCCAGTTGACTAAGCTAAGCAATTTACTAATCAATTCTACTTCACAAATGTGGGCTTCTTGACTCATTAAGAGCGACCTAATCACATATAAATAGGCTTTCTTCTCTTTTCTACAGGGGCTTTATAAGACAATTAGAGACCTTGAGTAAGCCCTCACAGATTGTTATTTGTTTTCAGGACTGAGCTTTTGTAGTACTTTACATTTTAAATCTAATTATCCGAGCTTTGTGGCAAGCTTTGAAAAAGGGCGTTATGTCTAAAAATCGTCATTCAGTCGGCTTTATCCCCCATGCATACACACGAGATATAGTTTTTCCTCTGTGTAAAGTAAACATCGATTTTCGTAACATTGATTTGTTGCCAATGGAATCACCACGAGTTCCAGGAGATTTATCTAGCAATTCATTCCAATTAGTATTCCATGCTGTTAGATGAAATCAATTCTTTGAGGTTGGTTTATTATCTCCTTTCAATACAGTTTTTTTGGAGCAGAAACCGACCTCACTTGGGTTGAGAGAAATAGCGAGCAACATTTTGTGAAACTCCGTGGGACAAACACACTCAACAAGTAAAGTGGGTTATCATAATAAGTCTCCCAACAACTCCTACTCTAAAGCGTCTTTTGGATTATCAAGGACCAAGGATGACTAGAAATATAGCATAAACTAAATTATGCCTAAATTAAAGCAACCAAAATGCCAAGAAACCCTTCAGTTAGACGGAGTCATCATTTCTAAACCATACAACTTCCCCATGAACAAAATCTCCTAACGCTGCACCCAAATTATAACCCAGTAGATGCCCATTGGTACACTATAATCTACGCTAGCTTTATTATTGAACAAACAGTTATCAGGTAAAAGAGAGGAATGCATACCATCTTGAGGATAACTTTTATATGGTTGGCAGAGAAGGTTGCCATTACGAAATCTTCACAATCATATGCCTCCTCGGTGGCTAAAACAGCTCGATGGGGAAGACGACTTCCATAAACCGAGGCGACGTTACCAAGGAGATATTCACTTCCTTGACGAGAAAGCCAACTTTGTCCACTTCCATTACGACAAGGAGGACGCTTCTTGTGTGGACAAGGCACGAAAGAGCGGACGTGGTGGTTTTGACCACTGTTTTCTGAAAGACTTGAAGATTCCTCCGTAATGCATGATGCGACTTCACCATCTTCAGATACTCGTGGCTTTCCACAGGCTTCACATGTGAAATGACCACACGGTCCAGAAGCTTAAGGCGCAAAATAAACAATTCGTACAGATTAAGTTCAGGAGAATTGCAGCTAGGAATACTCCAACGTTCTCATGAAATCAAATGTCATGTCAGGGTGTACCATAAAATAATTCCACAAAAAAGGACGACAAAACGCAAAATGAGGCAAATCTGTTAAGAGACATTACCAACAATTATTTTTTGACTTCAAAATGGCAAATGTGTGATCATGGCGAAAACTGCACTGAAGACACAAGACGAGAAAAAAGTAAACGACCTCAACTATGCTTACAAAGGTGAAAGCCAACAAATTAGACCAAGAGATTGCTAAACTACAGTAAATCCAAACTTAAACTCAGAAAGAACGCAAGTATTGCAAGAAACCTTCCTAAGTGCACAAAGTCTTTGCCTATAAAGTTGTTTCTAAAAGCTTGATGCTTGGACATCGAAACACCATCACTGTTTATAACTTAGGTTAGAAATAACTATCAAGCTTGCAGGGCCGCACCCACATGTTGATAAGGCTGACATGTTGGAAACAATCGTGAGGATCGATTACTCCGAAACAAACAACTAGAAGGCTTTGGATGTTGCTTTGTCTGCCTATCCTGAAAGACTTCAGATCATGCCTTTACAAGGAATAGATTAATGGGGCTATTTTTATACAAACTGAAGAGGATGTTTACCCGATAAGCATTCCTAAAGAAAGAATCTTCTCGTGGGGCAACTGAACGGTCCTTCTGAGACTTAAAAATCACTACCATTTATAAAACGAAATAAAAATGATAATATGGTCGCGGAACGGAAGCAACCTGAGCCGACAAGATGATTAATAAATGTTTTCCAACAAAAAATCGACGATTAAAAATAAATGAAGGATTAAAAGAGAATTACACCAATAAAATATCATTCACAGAAATCATGAAATACTAGTAAGATAGCTGCTAAGCAATCAGGCAATTCATCTGCATCTTGATTCCCCTCAAATGGCCAAAACATCCTGACTATCAAGAAAAAAAGTGTTTTTATCTTTCTTGAAAGCTTTGTTGTAAGGAAGGAAAAAAGGCATTTAACATATTCAGTCATACCACTTGGCAGCCAAGTTGATTAGACTTGTACTTATTAGCAAGTGCAACAAGCAGCAATTTAAGTCTAATAGAAAATAAAATACAATTAGAAACATTGTTTAAAATAAACAACACGTCAAAAAAGTAAATAAATTGGGAACATTGAAAAATTAAGATAATATCATCAATTCGTTAAAACAGTGAAAACGATTTTCAATAAATAATTCCAGAAATCGATCAATTTCAAAGTGAAATAAAAGTATACATTGCATGTTCTAAACCGAGATTCATTAATTTAAACAAGTCTTAACTACCGAAATCAAACAATATGTTATCATTATAAATTTAAAAAAAAATACAAAATGTCAAAATAGAGTTCATACCCTCATGACTGTGCCCCTTACTCCGTTCAAGTTTATTGGCCAAAGATTGAGGAATAATCGACCGAAATTCGGGCATAAATTTGTAAATCTGTCCGAAATCCGGTTGGTCAGGAAATGTGTTGAGGATCTTAGTAATGGTAAGAGGGGGTGGGAATAGAGCAGAGACAATACTTGGATGACAGCTATCAGGGTGGAATGCTCGTCCAAGGCCTCGCAAAAGACCTAGGAGTGAGGGCGCTAGGAATGTGCAAACACGAGCAATGCAACTCCACTGAGAAGAAGTAATTAGGTTAGATTCCGGAGGATAAGAAACTGGGACAACACCACCCATTTTTTGACGAATCATATTTGTAAGACTCTGAAAAGGTTCAATTAGTTGTTGATAACTGTCCTCCAAAGACGAAATTAGACATTGAGCTGAGTCAAGAATGATTGTGATTATCTACAAAGGCAGTCATGAGCATTAAAGTTATTTTGCTATACCTTATCGAAAGAAGGAGGATGGGAAACAGCCACTTGAGTAAGGATAGAAGACAAACAAAATGCGAAATTCTCCGAATCCGGAAGTCCTGCAAATGGATGACTATTAAAAATCACAGACACATACGTTTGCATTTCCTTGAATGAGGCTCCGTTGGAGGCATAGAACATTTATAAAGGATTTTTTGGACGTTCAATAGAAGGGGCAATATTTTGTCAATAAACTATAAAATGAAGGCAATATAACCATAAAAATCTCTAAATACCGTGAGATCTGATTCAACCAAGTATATGCCCAAGCTAATAATAGCGCATTGTCTATCGCCATCCAGATCAAAGCCGGCTTTTGTATCCTTAGGTACACACAAGTCATATAATCGAGATATCTGAAGGGAAAAGTAAATTTATTACTCGTGTTATAATTGTAGAAGAAAAAACCCAAATGGAACAAAAAAATCACACCTGGTCCCATTCATTACATCCAACCAAATTTCTGGCCAAGCTTAGATAGGAAGTCTGAGAAAGAGATTCAAGGGAATTCATCACAACTCCGAAAATATACGCAAAACCATCGAAACACGAGAAATAGCAAATTTACATTACCCGCCTCCAACTTTATTGGTTGGCAAAATTTACAGCATTAATATTAGGATATATTAACAAAGTTTCCTTTTGTTAATTTATTTATAATTTCACTATGATATGTTATTAAAGTCATGACTACACGCATATTCAAGGCACAGTAATCACCTAAACCCAAAAAATATGGAAATCAAAATTTTTATTTAAATACTATAACTTTCCATTTATGATAGCGTTGTGAAGTTCGAACTGTGTATAGTTTTTTAATATTTAATTTCGAGCAACTTGACGGATCGGCCACTATTAAGATTGACTCATTCGACTTACAATGGGTGCTTTAAAATTAATAACTCCTGTTAAAATCATTCTCATAATAATAGGAATAATAGCACTGTTCGTTCAAATTAATTTTAACATAATTCCTCTAGTTCGTACTAAGCTATTCTAACCTTTGAATTTCTGACATTTATAAATTTATTGAACTATGTAGCTTATTTAATGTTGGTCATTCGTCTCACCGAATGCAATTAGACGAAATTCTTCGCTTGTTATTTTACATGAAGATTTTACCTTTTCACATTAAAAATTTCTGGTATAAAAATGTTACTTTTCAATTCCCACAAGATATGTACGATGATTTATCCACCTTCTTAATGAAAGTCCATATTTTTTCCACTAATAACCCTTTAACATCCAAATTATATTTTTTGGCAAAATACATTCACTTGCACTCACACTTGTTTCAAAGTAGACTTATGTTGGTTAGTTTGGGCGGTATCAGGCGAATCTATTGACGTATTGGACATGTTTCAAACCTCATTAGCGCCTTCTCTAACGAGTCTAGTGCCAATGGAGCTTATCTTAAAAGAGAACCGTACTGTCCTAAGTGCGTTAAAGTGATAATACGTCTGTGATTTTGGTAGTTAGTTAATGTAAGACTACTTGGATCATTTTCGAAAACAGAATTACAAAATATTTCTTTTACCGGCTTCGGATGTATTAAAATAGCTTATTTGAACTACAAAATCAATCGCTATTTATCCAGTATTTCTTTTAAGTTAGGGCGAGTTAAGTTTATCTAGAAATAAAGATTTTTGGATAATTTTAACTGTAAAAAGATTTTGTTTCCAGACTTTAACTAGAGTCTCTAATCAGTTTATCTTATACCTTACATTTTCATGTAAATCAGCGCCCTAACGGAAGGGTATTCATCACTTTTGATTCAATGTTGATTTTGTGGGTTTTATAAATACGCAATGAAAATTTGATTTCTTGCTAAAAGTTTAGCTGCTTTCACTCAATTTTCTAAGCTTGGTGCTCTCACACTTACCAGCCGTTAGAAATGCTCCAACGCTTGTGTTTTGAATGAATCTCACACAATTAGTATAACTCTTGCACGGTTTCCAATGTCGTTTAAAAGTAGCTTTCACAATTGCTATTATATGTGGCCAGTCCCACTGTTTTCAAGCGTGTAGGAGTTACTTAGACCTCAGAGAAAGCGAGAGATTGAGGTGGGAGAGACAAGATAAGAGGGGCTATTTCGTCGGAGAAGATTGGCTTTATTGATGTAAGGAAGAACTAACTTTTCTATTTGAAATTGTGTTTGGTGTAAATGTAATTTATGGAGAAGACTGAACTGATCATTGATACTTTCTGTCTCGAAGTGACAAGTTGGAATTGGTCAGATAACTACCGTTCAATGAATGATGTTTGGTTTCCTCAAGCGTAGTCTGGCATGGTAATGTCTTGGAGTCTATATTGCACCTCCGGTGAACGAAAATGTACTTCTTCGACTTCTAATCAAGAGCTGTTTCCAATTATATTGCCTGTACTAATATCTCGAAAATCCCACTTGTGGTCATTACCTGGACTTGAATATCCATTTATTCCCATTACGAACCGCCCACTTTTACTAATAATTAGGTGGGTGTTCGTTTATTGAATTTCTCTATCAAACATAGGTAGAACAAAATTAAAAACGGAAGAGAACAATCATAATCTAAACTTCATGCCAATCAATGGAGAAACTCAAATTTCCGGAGTATTCAGTACCATTTCCAACCGAATTATGCGATTTTTAAATCAGTCCAACTATTAGTCCCTATATATAATTATAATTAACATATTATCATTTGGTAATTACAAAATCAATATTAAAAATGTGTAGAATGCTATACTATTGAACATCTTACCAAGCAAATTACGTGCTATATTCAATAAAAATCGTATGAATGCCTTCTATCTTGGCTATATTTAAATTAATTTCGATCAATTTACGTCCCTAAACGAAAAATTGAAAACATCCTTTTGAACTGATTGCCCCGATTTCATCTTGTGGTAACGTTGAAAGACACACCCTGTACCATGACTCACTCCTATGTCCAATCATCTCATCGCTATGACAACGTTGATGACACAAAACAATACTGAACGCCCAAAGCGCCAATCCACTAGCTTGAATCTAATCGTTATAGGTGTTAGCGCTCAAATGAGAGCACAGCCTGGGCAATGCAAAATACACTGCCATAGCAACACAAATGAATAATATAAGAGGCTTCATTAAAAAAATAAAAGTAGACAAATAAGAAAACGATTTTTTTGCCGGGTATAGTGGAACATATTACATGAAGAGATGTAAGCTCTTAATATGCATTTGCAAACTTGAATACATTATGGTTATGTTAGTCTCGATTTCATAAAGGTTTAAAAATTTGCTCTCTTCCTATCATTTTGGTTTCACGATAAGGTAGATGGATCAATATTATGAACTACAAATTTGACCATGGATGACTAATTAACAAATCATTCAGGCGCATTTTTATTCCCATTTCTATTTGGTTATATTCTCTATTTGAATTACCCACTGATACTTTGAAGAGGTGTTTGGCGATTTAATTGGTGTCGTTAAACTCATGTTAGACAAATCGAATGAAAATCTACCTAATTTTGAGCTTTCATAGAAATCTTGAAGATAGATTCAGAAATTTGCTGAACGTCCTACAATAGCCAACTCAAACTGTGAATAATGAAGAGGTACATTATAACATTAAATTCTGAATTTTAAAGAACAAAACTCCTTCTCACTCAAACTATTCGAAATGTTTGGGCTTTCTATGGTTTAAATCATTCCCTATAATAAAAGTTTAGATATCCTGTTAATTTGTTAGGACTAATATGGTGATAGACAAAATATATAGAAATAAACGCCAGAAAGGAGATGAAACATCAATGGAAGACAAAAAAGATACTTTTAAATTGCTGAACGTATTTACACGGTAAAATTTAGAGACATGTAATGTTAGTGTCACCTCGGGGTTTGTGAGCAAGAAGTTAAGGAAAGAAGTGGGGCTAAGTTAGCGGCTGCATTTTGTGAAACTGGAGCAATTCTTGTATCAACTAGGAGATTTCCATCAGGATCTTTTACTCTCACCCTTCCAGAAGCATAACGGGTCTCCTGACGGCCATCGGAAAACACCGTTTTCACCGTGCCATCGGGATAGATTCTCCTCTAAAATTTATTGAGAAAAAAACAATCAACGTTGCAATTAGATGAAATTCAACTGACAATTGAAGAGATACTTTACAAAGACCCAAGGGTCTACTAATGTTTATGTGATTGCGTTTCTCAAATCGAGTACTATGATAAGTGGCAAGTCCTCGATTTTTAAATTAGTTACTAAGATTGTTTGATTTGTATTTCACACCTCATAAATGGTCTCAAAGTTGACTGAGTCTTATTAGTATAGGGATTCACTCTGCTTCCAAGCAAAGCTATTATCTACCAGGCAACATGTTGATCTGCACTCCCTTCCAGAAAATGTTTGTGGTTATATATATGATTTGTTTTAATTTCTAAGTATTCAAGAGATTAACTCCCAAATTCGACTTTATCGTTCGTTGTCGGCATGAACTGATTTTACGGATTACCTTAAACTCTGAACAATGAATTTCCCTTTGACCGTTCGGGAGACTAATAATTTTATCGCCATTTGAGAAGATCTGAACAGAAATCCCATCTGGATAACGAGATTCCTCGACAATTTCTGGTAGATCTGAAGATTTTTTTGAACTCGGCTCACGTCGATGTGCAGTCAGTAGAGACAATTGCTGGTGTTGAGAATTGGAGAAAGTTGATGTGGGCATCATTTTTTGGGGATAGTTGATTTCCCTTCGACCGCTATTGAAATTAAAGATCCTGTTATAAAAACTTCGACAAATTCAAAATGTGCTATCTGATCCGATTGATACGAGAAATTGATTATAACTTTCAAATTAATGATATTGCGTTTACCAGATGATACTAGATCTAGGCTCGTATCCTGTTATAGATTAAATCATCAAATAATAAATCGTTGACATTAGAAAAATTGGAATGTTTTCCATTCCAGAATATTTGCAACGACAAAAGTGTTCATTCATAATAGCATTTAAACTTATATTGTCAGGTTTGGTTGATTGATCTGAAAGATCAATCCAGTTATATCTATGGGTTTCGAGCTCTAAAGAATTGATCAGAAGAATAAATAAATGAAACTTACTCATTGTATACTATTTCTTCGGTTCCGTCAAGTTTCGTTGTTTGTACTGTGCCATCAGCTGCATATTTGTAAATCTAAAAGAGAAATGGCATGAATCAGAATGTTCGATTAAAGGTGTGTGTGGGGGGGGGGGGGAGAAGGGAGAGATTGCGAGTCTTTGAAGGCGAAATGCCAAAGTTGGCTAAAGGAGGCCGACCACATTAGAAGTAGACTCTCAACTTTATCGGGCTAAAGAGAAGTGTACATGTCCACGCTCAAATTGATCAATTAACCGAAACTGGGAGGAAAGCGAAGTCATTGACTAGATCAGGGAATATGGTCACTTTCATCGTACTCACTCTAAATAGTTGCTTCCTCTTACACTTTGCAACATTCGGACCCCTTTGTCCCATTTTCCGTTTTTCATACATCTTTCAGTGAATTATACCCTTTCATATGTACTTAACTTATCCAAATGATGAGCATCAAAAATCTACTGAGACTAAGTTATCTACATTGTGAAAGAGTTTACGATATATCAGAAGGTA